AAAATACCAAACATAAACTCAAATAAAAAAAAAAAAATTATGAAAATACAAGTATAAAGTGGGTTTTTAACTTTTCCAAACAACCCTCCGTCACTAATTAAACCAGGAAGCACACAAAAAAACACACACTGAATAATACAAAGGTGAAATGGATCAAAAAAATCCTTATTTTATGATTGCGTCTGACCAAAACTATAAAGTGAGGTTTTTAACTTTAGAGCCTATAAAATTTCCCCTAAGAGAAACTTCATAAGGTATAGAGAAACTTCAATAGGCGTTGGGGGCTGCAGCTTCGGGACCATTTGTGTCGTCGGCAAGGAAATCTTTAACTTGTGATAGACTAGTTGGTGCATAGGCAAGTCCATCCTCCGAGTACAATTTTTCCTCCCTCATCTCACGGCGTGCGCCCGAGCGGTGCCTTTCACATACTTTGGGGATATACACACCTTTTTTCATGATAAACTATAAATGTTAGCCAAAAGGTTATATAACATTCACTTTTTTTTTATAATGAATTGAATCTATTAAGGATGATGATTCACCTAGCACACAATGTGGTGTACTTACTATTTATTAAAATACAGGATGAATCCCACATCATGTGAATGTACTTTGAAACACCAAATGATGTACATGTACATCAAGCTTTTCAAGTCGAAGATGTAACTTAATTGGATCAGATTAATATTACCTTCTCCGGCTGCGAGGTTGAAGTAGAGGTCGACGATGTTGTGGCAGTTGTTGTAGCACGACACAGAGCATAACTTGTTGATGAAGTTGTGGTCGAGTAGGGAGTCGGAGGAGATGCCGAGGGCCCGCTTGTCGACCCCACAGGCGGCGATGCACTCCTTGGATTCGATGTAGTTGGTGAGCCTGTCAGAAGCCAAGATCTCGGACGTGCGACACGTGTACCCATCCGGAGTCCCGAGCGTGCGCAGGAAGCTGCGTCTCTCGAGCACGCATCGGTTGCCCGTGGACGAGACTGCGAACGCGCACGAGTTCTCGCTCAGATCCTCACACCGAATCTCGCCTGCGTTGTTCATTAAAGTTCAAATTTTACGTTTGCAATACATACAAATGTGACAAAAAGTAATGTATGGAATGTGATTGGTAACTTACCAAGAGTTCCTTGGATGGAGATGGCTAAGGCAAGAGCTAAGGCCAAAAGTGATGTTAGTGCCATGTTTTTTTTTGTTTTGTGATGTGGAATTTGCTATTGAGATGCAAATTGGTCTTAGGCTATGGCTTTGGCTTCACTTTTGGTGTGTTGAAGGGTTTATGCCTTGAGTAGCCTATGGTGAGGTGTGCTATTTATAGAAGATGTTGAGGATATGGAGACCTATGTAAATTTAACTGTGTGAAAGCCACATAAATCTACTTTCAATGAAGGCAATGGGCAAAGCATTGATTTGGCTTTGAACCTTGTGACACTAAAGATTATTAAACATATAAGTACTTTAAGAGCTAATTTCAAAAATATATAGATACACTTTTGGATCTTTTTACCACTTTTTTCTAAAAGGAAAATCAAAGTGCTATTGTTAATAATCACTCTTTGTTTGAGAATATAGAACATTATATTAAAAAAAAAAATAAATAGGAACATTTTGGAATAGAGGTTATTTCTTAAATATCAAGTGACTAATTTATTCAACACTTACATATAATCAGTTAGTTCAATCGACTAGCCAAATACACTAACTTATTCAGTTATCTAGTATTACCTGATTTAGTCAGTAATTAGTTAAAATTAATCAATTATTCAGAATTGCTAATTAAATATGTTATCCATTATCAGCTAATTAAATCTAGCTAATTAAATCTTCTACCAGTAAAAAAAAAAAAAAAAATTGTCAATGTTGCATTAATATTGTTATTATTACCGTTATTAACAATTTTTGGAATATTCTTAATTAATAGGTGGTTAATTAAATTAAATTTTAATTTGTCATTATTTTCCATGAGACTGATATATAATTTTCCAGAGGTGCCTAATTGATCTTGATAGGTGGGTTTATTTATACCATTATTCATAATTCATGGCGGCTTTGTGAAGTTAGAAAATTAAGCAAAGCAAGACTTTGTTGTATATTTTTTTATTTTTTTTTTCAATTTTTAATTCACTTTCAATAAATAAACAGAAATATAAAAAAAAAAAATACGTGTCACTCATTTTCTTGCATTGATTGTGCAATTTTGCTCAAGTCGTGCCTGTTAATACGGTGCAATAATTAGATTTTTATGGTTTTTTTTGTTTTTTTGTTTTTTTTTTTTTCCACTTAGGTCAGGACGCGTGGTTTTCTGTTATAGCGCTTTTTAAGACTTGGACCACAAAAAAAAAGAGAGTTTCTCTAACGTGATTTTGACTACTATTCTTATACATTTGAATTGAATTTATTTTTTTTTTTGTTGGGTACAAAGAAGAAGGCAAAAAGTTTAAAACTGCTAAACAGCTATACTCCGCGGGTAAGCAATGTCAATAAGGTAATGTCATGCTGTAACCACGGTTTAACTGCCGACTGTGGATCTTGGAATCGTTGGTATCCACTAGGACAATGGTGGGCTAGAGTCGTCAAACAGTCGACTGCAAAGTTGGCCTCCCTATAACAATGAGTCGTTGGGCTAGAGCCGTTGAATTTTGAATGCAAGTAATTTATCTAATAGCTTTGATCCACAATAAATATAAATGCTAAAATTTTATTTAGGTATTCGAAAAAATATTACCTGAATTATTTACCTTATATAATTTCTTAATATTGATCATGTACTGCTTATATGTGTGCACCACCATCCATTATAGTGGATAGATGGTAATTGTTCAAATATTAGACTATTCATTTTAAAGTAAAAAGATACTGTTAGTTTTTTAGTTGTGCACATTTTTTTTCGATTTTTTATGAGTTATATTATATTTTATATATGATCATTTATAAGATTTTATGTTTGCAAAATTGAACAATTAAATTTTAGTTGTAAATCATTAATAAAAATTATATTTTTTTTAAAGAGAAGTTTTACATTATTCTTTTATATGTTGTATCGTTTCACATTGATATTGGAACTATTTCAACTTTATTTATAATATTTATTTGTTTTCCTTTTCTTATCGAACCATGATATTTTGCGTTGTTATTTTATTTTAAATTGTCCTAGTTGAAAGCAAATGAAAAATCATAATGAAATATAATATCTATATATATATATATATATTATAATTATTAAATGTGCTACAAACTTGAAAAAAAAAAGTTACCTATGATCATTAAAGTAATATGGTTGAATGATAAAAATGTTATCATAAATCAAAAAGTGTTATAAGAAATTGATACATATTGTTGGTATAATGTTATATGAGAGTTATATGCAGCATATGCAAATTGATATTAAGTGGTGTTAAAATATGAAAAACTACATTAGATGGATTAGAATGATACAATTGATTTATTGAATGCTACTATAACTAAAAATGTGTTACAAGAAAATTGATACATATTGCTTAAAATGTGTTACTTAATGAGTTAATGGTTATATGTAACATTTAGAAAATAATACTAGATAGTGCTACAATAGATGATTAATTTAATGTAACATTTATAATAAGTGTTACTTAATACTACAAAAAGTGCTAGATAAAATAATAGGTTGCAAGGGCAACAGTATCACCCGTGAAAATGTTAGTTATGATCTATAGAGAAACATTTGTAACGAAAGTGATCATAACACTATTTTTTTTTCAATTAAAATTTTATTTAAAACTACTACTACTTTATGGAAGAGTAAAATTTTGCTTTGATCATATCTTGATCAAACACAAACATTTGATTTAAGTCTCAAAACTCTAACCACCAAACAAAGCCATAATAACTCCAATAATTATGATTCCGTGTTAGGACTTCACAATAGCTAATAAAAACCCCATTACATTTTACAAACTACAAAGTCAAGCCACCCATCCCGCGGTGCCTAATTATGATTTTCTATTTGTTTTGGGTTGTAACGTTATTATTATGTTTGAATTTTACATATGTATAATTATAAACATTGCATTATGATCATTGAAATTTAAATGTCTATATTCATGCCATAATATAATATTATGACCTTTGAATTGAACAATATATCTACTTTTGTATGCGTTCCACCGGACCAATAATTATAATTGTACCAAAGTCGAGATTCACATAAGCTTTAGATTCCTAATTGAAAGATTAAATTACTTAACGGGGAAATTGATATATATTTACTTTTTAAAAATAAATAAATTAAATGATGGCGGTCCATTTTGATGTGCTATTGCACATTGGACCGGCCTTCTTCGATCTCCAATCGCCTAAGCCCTCGGACACCTGCAAGGACGCCGGGAAGTGTTCCCGGCGGTAAACCACCGACGCTCAAGTTAGTAGGGTATCGAAGAGAAGCACAGTTTGTATATTAAGGTTTTGTAAATTAAAAACTCATACCTCCCATCAAACAAGATCCCCCTATTTATCTCTCGCGTCCTTGCTTTCTTCATACGCTTTTACCCCAGCTGTTATTGGGCCCAACCCATATGTTAAAACATCTGTTCGGTCAAGTCACCTATAAGCCCAACCAAACAATTGATGTGATATTAACGGGCCGACCACATCTGCGCGGCCCCTAACCCGAGCCGACACCTGCTCGGCCAATAAATCGAGCCGATTTCCACCGGTTTACATAAATGTTTCCCTTATGCTATATCACATTTAAGCATCATTTTTTGAGTTGTTAAAATAAATTTAGCTGCTCGTGGTCTCGACTCGACTCGGTTCGTTAGAGATCGAATTCGGCTCGACTCGTTGTGGTTTGAGTTCGATTCTATGTAATGTTTTGAACTATTATATTAAATCAACTTGTTAGTTGTTTGTCCCGTTTTTGTTGCTATTTTCGTTGATTTCCTGTGTGTCGTTTCCCCCGTTTTAGGTCTTTTCGTAGGTATTTTCGGTCCTCTTTGTCCTTTCTTATGCTTTCATCTTTATTTCGGTGTGTTTAGTGTTTTCTTTGTTTTCGTTCCTATTTTCTTCATTTTTTGTGTTTTTCTTTCCCGTGGTGTTGGTTCCAGGTCTTAGGATGATTGGAGGAAGAGCACTCTGGCAAGTAGGGAAGTGTGTTGTTCGAGCATCGGGCATGCAAAAGTTGAGTTCCCAGCTCGGGCAGTACCCGAGCGACATAGACGAGCGCACGAACCAAAGAAAAAGCAGCAATGTTGATCTTCTGGGCCTTAGCGCCGCTAAGGTGCCTTAGCGCCGCTAAGGCCATAGCTGTTAGCGCCGCTTTGAAGTGTAACGGGACAGACAGCTGCAGCTTACTTTGCTTAGCGGCGCTAAGGATCCTTAGCGCCGCTAAGGTGGCTTAGCGGCGCTAAGAACCCTTAGCGCCGCTAAGGTCTATTTCGTAACAACTGCGCGATTTCAGTGATTTCGAATTTTGGAATGTTATTGGCTGAAGCTTAGGTCATTTTCCAGATCCAGACTTCGTTTTTGGGGAGATTTTTCACCTTAAACCATTTTTTTTTTGCACTTTTCATCTTGAATTAGCTTTTGGATTGAAGAACTCCTTTTCTAGCTTTTGGATTTCGGATTGCTCGTGTTTGTTCGACATTGGATTCAAATTAATCGTAAGCATTTCTTTTCTTATTTGATATGATGATGTTTGCTTTGGTTAATGAATGTGTTGATGTTGAATCGATTATGAGTAGCTAATTTCAATAACTAGGGTTAGGGGATAATTGTTCCGGTTCGATTTTGTTGATGTGAATGTTGATTGCTCGATCTAGATGAGTTAAGCTTGACCTAGGGTTGAATGTCTGATCATCATTTAATCTACTTAATTGATTTTAGAACCGAAAGGGGAGAAATCGATCGACCTCGGCTTGTTTAGAATAGACTTGTTCGGTAACGT